GTTTCTTTTTCCTCTAACAACTGATGTAATCTCTCTTCTTGTTTCTTTTCTCGTTCTTCTTGTTTCTTTTTCCTCTAACAACTGATGTAATCTCTCTTCTTGTTTCTTTTCTTGTTTATTTTCTCGTTCTTCTTGTTTCTTTTGCTGTTCTTGTATTACTGCCATCAAATCTGCTAGGCTGTAGCTTGATTTTCCGCCTCTCGTTTCCATCTTCTTCTTCTTTTTTTTCTGTCCCACTCTCTGACACCAATTTGTTACGCCTCCTTTCGTTAGTTAATTTTCCGTAAAAATTCTTTCCGAAGAACTTTAGCAATACAAGTCCTTTCTTAAATAGAACTGGTTTATTCTTTCTCAATACAATTTTGCAATACACTTAATTTCAACAGTTGCGCTATAACAAACACTATAATTCACAACGAACGTCTCACGTGCTTGACTCAACAATACTCTCTCTCTCTGTCTGCAGTTCAATTACACATTGTTCCCGTCGCTTCTTGGCCGGTCTTATATATACAAGACTACCCCATATCTAGTAGTCTCCTGATGCTTCATGAGCATTCTAGAAGCTCGTGGCGTGTTATTAGCGTCACATGACCTCCGCTGTCGTAACAATATCTTACAAGAGAGTCAGGATTAATATAAAAATATTTTACATGAGAATTTTAAGGAATAATAACTACAAAGGAATTCTAGAGCTTTACAAAGACATCTTACTTTGTTGTAAATAATTTCACAAGGATATTTTATGAAAGTGCAAGAAATTTTAGAATTATATCTTGAAAGATGTAAGTCATCCTTCAAGTACCTTTTATAAAGATGTAATATATCATTCAAAGGAATACAGTACCTTACTAAGTAAAGGAGCAAAAGATCATAAAAGTGTAATAAACAAGGGAGTCAAGGATATTTCATTAAGAATAAAGCTATTTATTATCTGTTTATGTAATGATACCAGGTTGTATATCACCATTGTCAGTGAGAATTTCCTTGCTATATATAACAAGTGAATGGAGATGAAAAAAGAGCAAATTATTGAACAAATCTATAGCCACATTGGATAAAGCTTTCCTTATATATATAACCCCCGGAAAACTGTTGGCAGTTGTTGTAACAGCTCAAACAATGCGACTAACCTCTTTTTGACCTATATTTAGCTGAAGATGCTCTGCAAGCTGCATCTGTCTGTCTCTTCTTTTCCATTGTGTATTAGATCTCTTCTTTGATCTACAGAGAATCAATGATACTTCTAAAAGTGATTTTGATTGCAAGTGATAATTCTTATATTTATAATGTCAAAAGTCACAACAGGTTTCCTTTGTTATTTAAACATAAACATTCCCATTACTATACTAGTATCCTTCTAGCTTTCATTATTTAATGGATTATACTGAGCTTGCAACATTTTACACCAACAAGCATGTAATTAGGTATATCTATAAAATTAATATATGGATTATTTGACATTATTTTTAAATCTTAAAAGCTTTTGTGAAATTCTAAGAAATATAAAAAGTAATTAAAATTATAGGAATGCATTGCAGTTATTTTATTACAACTTTATAAATACTTGAGTAAAATTCACTCAACAGGCATTTTCCAAAATGCTACCCTCATAACTAGTTTCTTTCAAAATGTACGTGAAGAGTGGATCATCACTTTATTAGATCAAATATATTGTAGCTGAGATTAAAAAACATAACTATTGATAAAAATGATTATCAGTCAGTGCTTGATGAGACTTTCTAATCTGTTTTGACTACAGGGAAGAATTTTTTTTCAAAATTCAAAACTCATAATTTGGAAAGAAAGTGGGACTGCTAAGTTTGGTCCAGTTAGAATCAACTTCAACTTAGCACTCACCACAATCTCTCAGATCTGTTATCAATTCTCACCTTCAGCTCAAATAGTAAGCTTGCTCCATTTTCTCATATCTTTAAATTGCTTATGTACATCTAATTTAAATGTGGAAAAGAAAAGAAAACATGTAAAATAATAATGATGAGTACTGTAACTTTAAGGAATACATTTTGAAGATCAAAAATTGATGTCTTGGGGGTTCAAAAAAATCAATCCAATTTTCTGAAAATTCACAACAATTTTGTGTACAAGTCTAAGAATACAAAATAACTAGATAATAAATTCACAAAAAAGAAGTCAATGTTATGAATAAAGCAGCAAAAACGTACCAATTGTATAAGGATGAAAAATAGCAAATCAGACATTAAATGGGATGACTCAATTGTACCTAATTTTGAGTTGTGAATTTATATTGTTCGCATTCAGGATTTATCAATCAAGGTATTTATATTAATCTGCAATCCTCAAATATGTGCTTTTCTTATTTTTTGCTGTTTTTAAGGAATATCAAAATTAAATTCCAATACCATTTCAAAAAAATAGTCACATTCTACATGGTGCATATAGGGCTAATGTGAATAGCAAATGACTTTGTACGGTGTACTATTCATAATCAGAGAAATAAACATTTGTTATTTTTAATAAATTATAAAGATCTAGCCTGATGGGAATTTTAAGGAAACGAAAACCAAGTCTTACTTCAGTATACATTCTTATCAGCAAAATAAACTCACCTGCTATAGGCAGGTTCTCGATTCAATACTGACACATCTAGTGGAGGAAAATGGCCTGCAATATGCCGTCTTCTACTCACTACTTCTGGTGAAATCTCTAAGGCTCGAGGTGAAGGTGCTACAATATCTGCAGCTGATGCTCGTTTATCTATGACAACTTCTATTTATAGCAATAAACAAATTAAAAAATGTTTTTCAGTGTTTTATTTGCATTTAAATTTGTTTTATTATTTGTGAGAAAAAATATATTCTAAAAATTACAATCATAGAGCACACCTCACATCCAATCTCTTTCTTATATGACCTTATGTTTTAAGGCAAATGTGTTTAGAAATAAATTATATACGAATATTATAAGCTACAACTTTACAAAAGCCTGTTCATGTTTTGTTGTCTTGAAATAAACTATAAGATAACCCACTATTTTTAAGGTTTTCTTTATTTCTCAATGTATCTCTTTACATTTATGAATTAATTTTCATTTTTAGTTAAACTTTACCATCACAAACAATTTTAAACTTAAACACACTCATCGGAATAAAGAACATGTCAGATGTTTTAATGAACCTCATTTACCTATTTGAAGCTTGAGGTCAACCAACCTACAACAGGTAATTTTTCTTAATCAAACTTCAAACCAACTAGATGAAATCCACTAAAATATCTTTCAACTGAAGGCTAAATACGTAACAAGCATTACATTATTTATTGTATTACTGACCAGTATCCCTAAAAGTTGCACATGGTTCATAACATGGTGCTCGAATAAGAGAATCTCTGTTATTCTCCCGAATAAGCTTAATACGAGAGTCAAATACCTGAAAAAAAGAAGGTCAAAATCTTTATAATTTTTATGAAAGAACAAAAACTCAAAAATAATCTATATTTTGCTCAAAATATATATACTATTACTGATATTTAAAATAATAAAAATGACCAATACTACTTATTTGATAAATTCTGTGGTCAAAGAGTAAACCTAACCTTTAAATTACTGTCTGGCTCCTCCCAGTGAGACCTGATCTTGTTGTCGATCAGAGTAGCAAACATCTGTGACTCAATAAAACGAGAAAGAAATGGAAGATGGGGGTTCTGGTTGGTCAGAGAGGAAAGCAGTTTTATCAAAGTTCTGCATACTCTCTCTTGAGCTCACCCACTGCTCCAGATCTTGCTAAAAAACAAACAAAAGTCAAGGCAATATAAAACTTGTATATCAAAAAAAAAACATCTAGCAGACTCTTCTGATATTATTTATGTATGTAAGATAGTATCAAAATATAAGAAAAAACACTAAAACCTTGTTTTTTTTAGCCTTTAATTCATACATGATTAATAAGTATTAAACAGAAAGATGTTTTCTTACAATGTGTACGCACTTGTTTTAATTTGTATAATGTAGTTGATTTTGAAAGATATAACCACAATGTAGATATTGTGTTTGTTCCTTCATCTTGGCTAAAAAAAACACATCAAAAAGAACTTTTATAATGGCTGCTCTCCCTTTTACACATACACCTTTTCTAAGTAAGTGTGAATATTTCAGTTATTCCTGTTATTTTATATACATATATATATTACTTCTCTCTAACTTCCAATTATTTTATTTTCACAAAGCATGCCCATATTATTCAGACAAAGAATGAAATTTTCAATGTCATGATGAAAAGAAAAATAAGATGTAGACAATACAAAAAATTACAAAAATTAACCTTTTTTTTGCTCCTAAAAAACACAATAAGATTTTGGAGAATATATTTCTGCCACAACAACAGTGTAAGACTGTCCTGGATATTCAATGTGTGTCTTACCCATGGTTAAGACAAGCAAAACGTTTATACATATATAAACACACACACGCTTTTAGCAATGATATTTTCCAAGAGCAAATGTGCTGTTTTAGATACATTATTTGAAAGTGACAATTTTGGCTGCAGTAAAGACTTTAAAACATGAAAAGTGGAGGTAAGATGCAGCAGCAAAAAATGAGTCTTGCAACTGATTGAATGTCTATAAAAACCTTCCCTGCAGTAGAGCACAAGTACAAAAAATAAGCTACTTCCAATGACATTATGTTCTTATATTTTTTAAGTAAACTTTATCCTAACTGAGCTCTCACCTGCTGTAGTGGGAAAAAGAAAATGAATAACTACTTTAGTAGTGTGTGTGTGTGTGTGTGTGTGTGTGTGTGCCAATACAAATAATTTAGAAATCCTTCCTTTGCACTTTTCTTTCTTGGAAATAAATTGTGTGCCCAAGTTCTATAAAAAAAAAATAATTAAAATTTCCAGTTTTACTTGAATAACAAAATCTCTGTTAGTCTCCCAAATTAGTCTAATACTAGAATCAGATACCTGAAAAAATAATGTAAAAAAGCTTTATAACTAAATATTTTATGAAAGCACAACCTCAATAATAACCTAGGTTTTGTTCTAACTATATTATGTCTAGTTCTGAAAATCAAAAATGAGGTAAAAATAACCAATAGCACTCTTTTGGTAAATTTTTGGGTGAAACGTAGAACTAACCTTTAAATTACTATCTGGCTTCCTCCACTGAGACCTGATCTTTTTGAAAAGAGTAGGAAACATTTGTGATTCATTAAAACACTTAATTAACAAATACAGAAGAGTTTTTGCATACCCAATAATATTACACAGCATTATAGTATTTTCTCAAGATTTTAAAAGACTTGTCTTGTACATATAAGAAAAAATTAATAAAATTAACCTGGTTTGGCTGAATGACAAAATGATCATAGGAACTAAACATCTGGATGAATCTATTAAGGAAAACTTCACGAATTGCATTATTAAACTTGAGATCTTCCACATATTGTTGTTCATTACTTGCTAGAGACTTCTTAATTCTTTCACATTCATGTTTCTTTGGTTTCTGCAAGTCTTGTAGAGATGTTATAACTCCTGAAATTTACAAAATCAATATTCACTTCACTAACTACACACAAAGATGCTTTTTATCATTATCTAAAGCTGTCAATGACTTTATAATTTCCTAAAATTAATTGTGAAATTTCGAAATCAACAATATATTTCTGTCTAGATACTTACCTGTCTATAAATTTCAATCGTGATGCTTTAAAGATTTAAACTTTTCTTTCAGAAACTCAGTTTAGTTATGCTCGTGTGTATGCAATCTTTCATTATAATGTACAGTTTCATTTTGGCTTCTCTTCACCATCATCTTATAGGCAAAAGCATTAAACAATGTTTTTTCTTAAGTTTGAAATGATAAATTTCACAAGTATAAGTAATGTATTCTACATATTTTGCATCATCTCAGGCATTAAGATGGTCATTTTTGGAGTTTTATCATAAGTATTAAAAACAATATTGAATTATATTGCAAGCAATTTAGGTTTTACAGGCAGTATTGATCACAAAATAGTATCGAAAACTTCCTTGGAGAGGACTAGTGAAATAAATGGTTAAACAACATCTATACCCTAAGAAAGGTTCCTTCACTAATTTAATTAGTGCTAAAACAAGTGTGATATCAGTTAACAATAAACTTAACCAGTGAGGGAGGCAGTTTCTTTGCATGCAAATGGAAAGAAAAACAATTTAAATTATGAATGAAAATGGTTAATTCCTACAAGTATATTAAAAAAAATTATGACTAAAAAGAGCTAATTGCTACAAGTATATACAAAAAAAA